TTTTTTTTTTTTTAATCTTGATTGTAAACTAAATTTATTTTATCGGAAATGGAGAAAAACTTATTATTTGACAATCGCTATACGTTGCTGTAGTAATACTCAATCTATTAATTATACTTCTGTTGGCTTTAATTTCTTTTGAGAAAAAAAAAACAATAGTATATATAGTTATGTTTAACCACAAAATGTAACTAATCGTACTGTGTTAATCGAAAATTAGATATATTTTTCTATAAAATATAGTATACACTAATTACGTAAACAAACAGTACGAATTACTATGGCAAACGAACTTAAAATTATAAAAAATATTGGACTTGTCGTTTTTGTTAACAATATTATTTTTTTTTTTAATTAAGCGTTCAGACATGGCGTTTTATTCGAACTTTTTCTTTTCTTAAATAATTATATATTGAAATATTAATTAATAATAAGCAAAATTCATAGAAATAAACGATCTGTGTCTGTTAGAAGCAAAGAAAGTTAGTTTAAATTACTGCGCTTATTGTATAGCGGAAATTTTGCGAACGCGTAGGCCGTTTTAATAATAACAACAATGTGATAGTGGTTATTATACGTAACCTTCAACTCTACACCTTTGATTACGAGCCAAAAGTTGACACGGTATTTAAAGGTTATTAATAATAAATTGTGACGCCGTTAAGATTTGACTATGGAGTCAATTTATTTTATTTTAAGTTATAATAATATAATTATAATTTAAAATATACAAAAAACTGGTGAACCGTAAGGTGCGGATAAAAACAAAACAAGGCGCTGGTAAATAACACACGACACATACGGCGGAAGTAAATCACAGATGAACTAGTTTACATAGTCGCCGACGTGTCTCGCGGTGCTGCACCCCCTGACCTGTTCTATCTACCGACCAAAAGATAAGACAAAACTTGTGTTATCGTCAACACTAATGAGTGCGACGGTGGACAGCTGATAATCACGATCGGATAACGTGCTAATTCACGGTAAATGAATAGTGCGCTATTACGGGCCGTGTCACATGTCTTATTAGGAGAAAATAGGGAGGAAATTAATCAAAGGCTAGAGGTGTTGAAAAAAAGGGTTTAAAAATAAGTAGGAGTAAGACAGGGTATTTAGAGTACGAGTTTGATAAAGGAGAACACGAGGTCGGTCAAATAAGGAGACCAGTGACAATAGGCGAGGATTGGAGAGGTGGAAAGTTTTAAGTATTTAGGATCAGTTGTGCAAAAGAGCGGTGGTATTGACGAGGATGTAAGATACAAGATTAAGTGCGGGTGATTGAAGTGGAGAGATGCGTCTGGTGTCTTATGCGATAAAATAATTTCTATGAGACTGAAAGGTAAATTCTACAAGACTGTAGTGAGACCAGCTATGATGTATGGTTCAGAGTGTTGGGCGGTTGATAAGAAAGTAGAGCAGAGAGTGAGTGTAGCAGAGATGAGAATGCTTAGATAGATAAGTGGAGTGATTAGAGAAGATAAGATAAGAAATGAGCATATAAGAGGGAGTATAGGTGTAGCGTCAATCGTGGATAAGATGAGAGAAAATAGACTTAGATGGTTTGGTCATTTTATGAGAAGAGAGGAAACGGAAGCCGTAAGAACAGTTGTAGAAATGAACGTTGAAGGAAGAAGAGGTAGAGAAAGACCAAAAAAGAAATGGAGAGATGTTATTGAATGCTATATGAGGACATCTGATGTGAGCGTAGAGGATGTGGGAGATCGTGTCAAGTAGAAGTTTAGGATAAAGGTGGCCGACCCCAAATAGTTGGGATTAAGGCGAGGAAGAAGAAGAAGACTTTTATTTTGTAAAATTTAATTTTAAACAAATTTTGTATGAAATATTAGGTCGTATTGTATAAGGTTCGTCTGATATGATGAAATATTGGTAAATATGCCTGAAAGGGCTACTGGGCTCACAAGGCCTTAACTGGTAAAAGAACACAAACAAATTTTCATTTGAGATGAACAACAATAATTATATTCTGATAAAACAATGAATGATTTATTTTTCTTGAGATGATGTTGCTGTGAGGTACACATATCCTGACAAAATGAGCAACCACAATTGGCTGAGAACAAAATATCCACAAAAGGATTATTCAGAAGAACCTATTTCTTCATTCTTCATATATCTGAGTAGACTACAATTGGCTTAGAACAAAAAAAATCCACATAAAAGGATTATTCAGAAGAACATATTTCTTTCATTAACACATGAAGTTCCATAACCATAAAAAAAATATCAGTCTTTTATCACAAAAAAGACAACATGAAATGTGATCGCTTTACACAGTGTCGCCCTATTCTGCTGCGCGAACAATGCCAATTTCGACAATTTTACGAATTATTACATATTTTGACTTTTTTGTATATAACTAATGGTTATTAAATTGTTTGTAATTTTTTTTTTCTATTATATTATAAAGTTAAAAATAAGGGTTTTTATCCTTGAAGAGACGAAAAAAATAATGGTTTGACTACATATTATTGTAGAATTTTTTGAGCTTGATATTTTTTCTCTATAATAAAATTAAAAATTCTCAATATTTCCTGAGAAAATGAGTATATTACCAGATTTCGATCACCCTCTGTAAAAACAAATTTGGTGGGTGAGCCCAAAGAATTTCCAAAATTTAAAAAATAAGGGACACCCTAATACATATGGTCAACATTAAAATATGCTATGATAGACCATAACTTATTCAACACTTGAAATTGGACAAATATTATATATATGTACCCAGGCGCGGACTGGGACCATTTTTCTTACCGGGAAACCAAGTTAAAGGGGCCCATAGGCACTTTCCAGGGCCGCGGCAAAGCTCCTGGGAGCCCACCCGATTTTTTGTGCTGGTTGAGCAAAAAAAAAAGTCTTTAATAAAATTTAGGCCAAAAATGGTGACTTAAGTAGTGTATTTTTTAGGGAATATTTTGATTAAATAGTCTAGCATCAGTATTAATGAAATTCTTTATTTTTGTTTAAAATCTTTACCATAAATTTTAAGTTAAAATAATATATATTTTTTAAGTTATACGTATTAATGTCTCCCTTTGCGCTATAAATGCTATAAACAAACTTTTAACTTAATGGCTGATTTAATCTTAATAAATTAGTTAAATTGAACAATAGTGAAATTATTTTAAATACTTTAAACTAATACAGAAGTTAAGTTTACAAAATATTCAGCAACGTATTGTAAAATAATATGTAGTTTTTGAAAATGTGAATCTGAATGTAAAACTACAAAATTAACAAATATATTCAGTTAAATTTTTAATAATCTAAACATTTCTAAACTTTTCTCACACATGGAATCTATTATTTCGTCATTAGTTATTTCATCTACTATTTCACGTTCGCAATTCATGATGAATATTGACTCTAAATTTGGTTGAGTTAATGTGCTTCTCAATCGCGTCTTAATCAATTTCAGTTTGGAGAATGATCTCTCACAGGTTGTTTGAGTTAAAGGAATAGTCAACAAAAATTTGTATACGTCGAAGAGTTCTTTATATTCCAAAGAATACATATTAAACTCATAAATTATGTTCGTCACGCACAATAAACACGAGTTACATTTTCTTATATTTGTACATTTTTCTTCAATGTTTTCATTTTGCATGTAATCTTCAAAGTCCGATTTATCTTGTACTGTATTTATCTTGTATTTTATATCATTACTACCAGAAAATCTGTTCTCTAAACAAGCAATAGTAGTATCCATAACGACACTAAAAGTTTTTATTTCATAAATTTTTTCTGGAGAAGCTCCAATTTCCGGGTCAATGTTGGGGTTATCTTCAAAACGTCGTGGAATGTTTATTCTTCTTTTTTGAGGTAATTCTAACCCAATATCAATTTCTGTTTCGTGTTTCCATATAACTTCGGATGTAAATATTGAAAATTCTTTTGCAGCTGCACTTATCGATGAAAATTCTCTTTGATTTTCTTTTAATGACTTTATAGTTACTTCAATTTTTCGCCAGGCCTGTATATAATCAAGACTAGATGTTTGTAAATAATCAGACAGAGCAGTAGTGAACTTAAATATTTGTAGAAACATCATAGCTGTTAATGTTGTTTCATAACTCGTGAGTCGATTTAGTAAACTTCGTGCTGTACTTCTTACACCAGCTGCAAAACTATTAGAAAAAGATATTTCATAAAGTGCTAAAACAATTGACACATAAGTCAGTTTTTTTCTTTCTTCATTTTTGCCTTCATTTGTCCACATACTAATACGACCAAATATTTTTATGAGGGCATCATTTTTAGACCTCTATCTAGTTACACTTATATTTATCAAATGTGATTGACGGCCAGAATTACTTTGACATTCATAAACATTGAGCCTTTTATAAGATTCTTTAAAAAAAACAAATAATTCTTGCAGAAGACCGAAAAAAGAGATTACTACAACCGTACTCGAAGTTGTTTGTTGCAGTACAAGATTCAATACGTGAGCATAGCACCATGTATGAATGTGCCTTGGAAGCAGTTCTTTAAGTTTTGCCTGGACTCCATTGTACTCTCCATTCATATTAGCGGCTCCATCAAAGGCGTCTGCAATACATTTATCTAATCTAATATTTTTAGAAATTAAAGTTGATTTTAACAAATCAAATAAGCCTTGTCCTGAAGAGGAAATTACTTTTTTCAAAGCTATAACTCTTTCCTTAATTTCTACTGAAGATTTTTCATTTTCGACATTCTCTTTCAAATATCGCAAAACAATTACACATTGATCATGAGTTGAAACATCCATAGTTGTATCCATTGTAATGGAATAGTTGTTAGCCACATTAACTTCTTTAGATATCTTAGACAACAATAATTCGCCAATAGTTTGAATTACATTTGTTACAGTCTTGTGACTTAAAAAAGTAAACAAATTTCCTCTACCAGATTTACCTCTTTTCAACTTCTTTTCACTTTCAACTATTGCCTTAGTAATATGATCACTTAATTCTACATTCGACTTTGCTATCAATAATACTATTTCCAAAAAATTCCCATGATTTACTGATATATTTTTTAAATCGTAAGCAGACTCATATCTGAATCCTCTGAAAGGTAATCCTTGTTTTCCAATTACTTTAACAATATCAATAATTATTTGAGCTACTCTTCTTCTCTTCATCACTTCATTTTCCCTCTGAACCCACTGCACTCTTTCTATTAATTCATCAACACTTTTACCACATTGATCAGCCATGAAACATTTTGACGCTTCTCTATGGTTTTTTGACTCTTCGTGATCTTTAATACGCTCATAAACATGAATCCATCTGCTAAATCCACTATCGCTAGTAAAAGCTGATGATTTAGAGCAGTATACTAAACATATTGAACAAAATAAAGAGTTATGTTCATGACTATAGGATAACCAATTTCTTTTGATTTTTGTCTGTGATCCTGGAATAATTTCATAATAAGCTTTAGTTGTATTAAATGGTAAAGGAGAGTCATCCATCATTTTCTCTGGGTGATTTGGATGAAACGAAAAAAAATATTTAATATTTTGTTTACCCTTGGGCTTTAAAAAATAATTAAAATTTGTTTTATCGTCAATCTTTATATTTAAATTATTTTTGACTAGAAGGTCAATATCTGTGTTATCACATAAATCAATTTTGACTTCAGAATTAGTGATTTGAAGGTCAATATTTTCGTCATCACGCAAATCAATTTTAACCTCAGAATTGTCCGAATGAATTTTAGAACTAGATGAATGTGGCACAGAAATATCATAATTCCCGAGTGTATGATTTTTACGAGGTATCTTTATCGGCTCTAAATTGGGGTTATCTTGCGAAGCAGTTAAAAAATAATTTGTCATTTTTTTAGATTTATTTGCTATCTCCTCGAGATATTTCTTGTTATGATCTTTTCGTTATAAAGAACCGCTCTTATGATATTTTTTATTTTGGGCGATGTTATCCTTTTCCATTATTAATTAGCCTAATAAATACAAAATTAATTGTACTCTAATTAAAAAATTAAAAATATGATTTTCAGGTTAGTAAATATTGTAGTATTATTCGTTTCCAAAACTTGATAATTTTTATAAAAAAAAAACGTAACTTAGTAAAAAATTATTTTGTTTGGAAGTATTATGTTTAAAACGGCANTTATTTTGTTTGGAAATATTATGTTTAAAACGGCCTCCCTAGGTTATTTTTAAAATTACACTACTTGATGTTTGTCTATTACAACAAAAAGAATTTTCTCAATTTTTTTTTTGGATTTTTTTAAATACTATTTAAAAATAATTTTTACTTTTTTTCTAAAAACTATTTTTTTTTTAAATTTTAGCTTCGATGCGAAGCTGAGAAAGTACTATTTTACCATGACGTGTTTTTTTTATCTGCCACCTACTTTTCTCAGCTTAGACTTGACCGATTTTGATGAACTATACGTAAAAAGACCACTAATCGTATCTAGTTAAAGACATTCTTCTCGTGTCCCGGAAAAGGGGAAAGTATTCAAAAAAAAAATTGTACTATCGTTTTAATATTAACTTCAGCCATAAAAACCAATAGAAAANGATGTGCTATCGTTTTAATATTAACTTCAGCCATAAAAACCAATAGAAAAATAAGTTGCTTTTGTTAAATTATCTGACTTTTCTAAAAATAATATTGATTTTTTTCGCGTTACAGTCATTAAAATTGAGTTTTTATAATCAAAAAAATTGCTTTTTTCGTGTTGCCAAAATTTCAGAAGTTCTCTAATATATGTTTAGAAAGGTAAGAAAACTTTACATAATATGGGTACATTACAAATGGGGTTCTCCATGAAAACTTTTAGTAAAATCGAAAAAACGGAAAAATATCTTATTTTACACATAGTTTAATAAATATTTATTAATGTGGATGTTCTTTTCATTGTAATATATGTGCAGTATAATTTTAATTTTTTATTTGTTGCTAGGCAAGAATGAGTAAACATAATTTTATACGCTATGGTTATAGATTTACGTAATTATTGTATGCACTCCTAATTATAATTAGTATGCATGTCATAAAGAAATTNGTATACATGTCATAAAGAGTCGGATCGAGACTTTTCAGCCTACCGAGATTTTAAGTTTCAGCCCTTAACAAAGAGTCAGCCCATACGACAAAAGCTGTTGTACTCATCTCTTATTTTATTTACATCCTAGTCAAAGAAAAAAACATAATTATTCTTTCGTGATCACTTTTTAGTAGAAGAATTCATTATTCGCGATCTGACCTACCCCTCAAGGAATCGTACATTTATTCATATTCCTACTCAATCCATCTCTTATAGTTATAATAATTAGCTATACTGTATGCTTCGTAGTGTCAATCAACGCCATTAGCACATTTTTACTAGCACCCCTCTGTTATATCACTAATTACTTTATTATTATATATTTAATCTTTAATTAATTAAATCACTTAGTTGTAAACATTATGTAAATTGCTGTTTGGCGCGAATAAATTAAATAAAATAATAATTGTTTCACTTAGACATAATTATAAATAATTTCTCGGTAGCTCCCTGGCTCAATTCAGACATGGTGTCATACGTGTCATTTAATGTTTTACAAACAACAATGTTGATGTTTAATATATTTTTTTACTCATAAATTATAGTATAATGTATATTAGTATGATTTTTAAGTACTCACCAAACAATAAAGCAGTTACCAAAACTCATAAGACGCAATAACGATAGTTACCATTGACGAGCAAAATGAAAATGATCAAGATTTCAAATAAAAAACAAACAAAAATATTTTTTTGAAATCATTAATAAATATAAAATCATGATAAAAGGATATCGCAAATTGAGAAATATCGATATGCTATTTATTGATTTTTATGATACAATACAGACGATGGGCAACACACGGATCAGTCGTTAATTTTTATCATAATAATCGTAAATATAATCAATTCAGACACATCAGCCGTCAAACACGTTCTGACGACTTCCGCGAATTAAAAGCAGACGACATATTTGATAATCAGATATTTTTATCGATTTACATAAACAAATCTGATAATTTTATGCTCTTAAAATAGTATTTAACTTATCCAAAATGCAAGAGGACTCATAAGACCTTCGGGTCATTCCAACATGTCCGTGAGGACTAAATGGCGGTATTAAGATGTGCGAGCTGTGTGATCGAGCAGAGTAGTCATCAGTGACACGGCACTACATAACAATTTTTGATAACTTTTTTTTTTTTTTGCTTGTCAGGAAGGAAATTAGGGATTTTTGTAAAAAAAAAAATTATTAAAATTTAGGCAGTTGACTTTTACTAACTAATTTGCCGTAGTATCAAGGGGCCCATATACCATAATTTTTGGGGGGTCCACCGGGATTTTCCCGGTATCCCGGTGGGCCAGTCCGCGCCTGTATGTACCAATTAATTGTAATAATCAATCATCTTAAAGTTTTGCAGTGGCGTATCTAGGATTTTAGGGTTTAAAGTGTAGCCCTTAATTTATAATTCTATATGATAAATATATTTAGTAGTACTAAAAAATTTGATAAGAATTGTTAATTAAATTTATTTCCTATAATTTATTACAAAATACTCTTTGTAATTAGGCTATATTATTCAAACCTAAAAGAACGCGTACAACTACTACGCATAATTCATGACAAATTTTTTAATTGTGTAAAAACGCTATCAGAAAAAATTTAATCATACTAATTTGTTTAAAGAAAAGTTTCATATGAAAAATATAATACGTTCCTCATAATATGTTTTTCTTATCTGATCAAATTCTTCATTTTCCTAACAAAAAATTTATAATTTCATCTTATTCGATTTTATATTTCATATTAATTATTTCAATAATAAAAAATATTTTATTATTTTCTTTTTGTATTTTATTAATAAATTACTATAGTAAGAAATATACTCAGTCGTATACTTAATCATTAAAAATGGAATTGCATACATTTGTGTAAATGAAAATATTTTTAAAGTATTATAAATCATACAGGGACTTGGGCGTTACTAGAAATAATGTATTTTATTTTCTTAAATTATACAATATTATACTGAAAGATATTCTGTCAATGTTTGTTGTATTTCTATTTAGTCAAGTTTCCTAAAAAATATAATGATATCTGACAGTAATTAAAATCACTATCAAAAAAAAAAAACGCTTCGATGCAAATCTTTAGATAGTGTTTTATTTTAAAAAATTTGTGGATTATTCCAAAAGCTACATGATCTGCTAGTTCCTTATTAATGTCCTGATTAAGATAAAGTATGTCGAATGTAAAAGGGATATAAATATTATTTTTCATAAAAAAATTGTGTTGATCCATACGCTTTTCAATAAGTTATAGCATTATAATGTTAAAAATGTAAAAAATAAAATCGAGAATTTTCACACAATAACAGCATTCGGTAGCCATTTTCACCGTGAAGACAAAATAAAGTCCGAATTTTTTTTTTTTGCATAATGAAGTACATTACATTAGCTTTAATTTAAGATATATATAAAAGTGTCAGACTTTCTGGAACACTTTCAAAAGTTAAGTTGAAAAAGTTGTCATTTTAAATCCCCTTCCTGTGAGCTGAGTCAGATGTATAAAAAAAATATACCAAATGAAATGTAATGATATCAAGCATCTATAAAAAAAAGTTATGTTGATTTGTTGATTTTTGAAAAAGTAATGGCAATTTTAAGTAAAAAAAATTTCGAAAATTTCGAAAATTAGCGATTTTAAATTTGTAATATTTTTAGAGGTTTATCTCATTTACGGGGAACGAGGGAAATTTTTTCAATTTTTGAGGGTAATGTCTTCGGCTGGATTCGATTTGTGATCTTTTGGCGTATCTTTAAAGAAATCGGTTCGGTGAGAGCTGAGAAAAAGTGGTAACAGACACAAAAAAACACATTATAGTAAAACCATTATCTTCTCAGCTTCGCATCGAAGCTAAAATACATATTGTTGTATAGTTTTTCAAATGTTTTGTAATTTTATATTCATTTTTTTAATACAAACATTAAGAAAATAGATTATTTATAAGATTTTTTTTATGCATTATTTTTAAGATAGATTAATGTAAATGTTGTATTAAATATATATTAAAAATAATTTTTTTTTTTACAAACAAGATTATTCTAAGTCTATAATATAAGTTATCATAAGATTATATTTATATAACTATATTTTATTTCATTTTTAATTTCTGTATATAAATTATATAATAATTTATTTCAACAAATGTGTAGTCTTTAATTTAATACTAACAATTACAGGATAAATAATTAATGTATTTTTAGAAATTTAATCTTTTTAATAATGCATCTTTCTTGATTTTCCTAACATTATTATTATATAGGTTTTAATATTACATAATATACTTAAGATTAAAATAAATTTTATAGTAATTTTTTTCATATTTAGAGAACAATTCTTAAATTCTAATTGTAACTTTTTATGTATCGCAGATAGCTTTTCAGGTGTATCTTCTAT